TTTCTTTTGGGGACCCCCCGGTCCCCCCCCCCCCCCCCCCCCCCCCCCCCAAAAAAAAAAAAAAAAGAAAAAGAAAAAAAAACGGGTCAGACCTTCGAAGCTGTCCAAGTTAACCTGGAACCAAATCAGATCCCTAACATACCTCTACCAACTAGGAACCTCTATTATATTACATAAGACTGATCTCTAATCTCTATGTATTTATTGAGGACACACACCAAGATACCTCTACCATTCCCCAACCTTATATGGCTTGATTACTATAACTACCTGTCTAATGGGCTCTATCCTACGTCCAGGACACTGCCTTATTACCTCTAGATACCTCTAGCGAGCGGTTGCAAGGATAAACCGAACGCGTTATGATCCAGTACATTACACCTTCGACATGCTATCTCATCCAATTATGCGTCTTGCCTACGCGTTTTGTCAATAGTCAAAATATTCTTCGGATTGAAGAAGACAAAGTTGACGCGGCGCGATGTTTTCACAAATCTGTACCAGACATATCATTGTTTGACAGCGTCAATTTTGTGTCAAAGCGAGTGCTTTTGGACAGTCCAACTTGGAGGGTCCACTATGTTTCATTCATTCCACTTTCCATAATCACTCGGAGATAGCAAGAGTTAAACCCAATCTGCCCGTAACTTCCTCGATTCGTCCATGTCCCAAAAACCGCAAGTCGACCCAATCCCAAGCTGGCAAGTACAACAGTCCCACCCATCCCCATCCTGTCCATCCCAAATCCAAAACCAGATCCCATTACAAGCCAAAAGCACCGCCCGCCCCAAAACCCAGAACCAAACGCCATATCGCCCCGAATCCCTCCATGACTACCTCGGTAGACCCAAACTCCCTCATTCTCCTACTCCACCCAGGTTGACATCTGTGCACTCGGCCCACGACTCCAACCTTCCACAATCACCATCCCGCAGCTCCAGCTCCAGCTTCCATCCAGATCCTATCCAGCTCCCATCCTGGCCATCCTGCCCACCCCTTACCCAGTCCCGGTCGGACTAAGTAAGGGGTAAATCGGTAAAGTACAATGGTTAGCGGTTGAACAACAACTTACGAAGGGAAAGGGTAGGAGTATTTCAGTTGTGACTTACGTGTTTGAGTGTGATGTCGCACTTTCAGAGTCCCCAGATTTCCATCAGCTAGACACAGTCATAGTTCGATGCAATCATCAGTGAGAGAGAGACTTACTTCAGTCGGTAGGCAACCTGGAACCTTGTGATGCTTCCCCACCGCCCCTAGAGGTAGAGGTACCCAAGAAAGAGCAACAGCCGGGCATCGTGCAGCCAGGCCGCGCCACCAACAACCGTCATCGAGCTTCGATGGAAACGGAACCCGTCAAAGCCTAGGTGCACGAACGAAAACCAGACCGAAGTCTACTCTTCCGCTCTATGCGTCTTCGGCTTCTTGGGCCTCTTCCGCTTCTTGTCCCCGCCTTGGCTGTTCGGGTCCTTCATCATGTACTCGATGAGACTTTGTTCCAGTGGAGGGCGGTTCGTCATGAACTCCTCAAGCTTGTGGAACGAAGCCTCGTCGATGGAGTAGTCTTGCGCAAAGAGGCCTCCATCCTTGTACGCAACAAGGAGGTCGAAGGCGACATTGCGCATGTGCGTCGTGTTGACGAAGGAAGTTGCTTTCTGGTTGTGGGGCTTCTTGGTGGTCTTGACCATGAAGTTCCTCACGGGGTCATCGGGGTGGGGTTCGGTCTCGAGAGCACCTTCGATGGGGAGGAAGTAGGACCTCGCCTTGACGGCTTCTTCAGAGTTTCCGGGGAATCTCTTCAGGAGACTGTTGTCTTGGAACGAGGTCAACTGGTGGGTGGGTGTGAATGTGTGGTTAGTTCCAACTTCCCAGTTACACGCCGCTTGTTCGGTAAAAAGCCAGGCCAGATGGGAATCAGGTACTTACTACCAAAAAGTCGACAGTGCCGTCTTCCTTAACTTTGGGTGACATGATGAGGGCAGGATGAGGAGGCAAGCCCTTCTTCTTGTCCAGAGGACCTCGAGGCAGATCTCTCACAGCCTTGGGTCCAGCCCACAAGATACGTCCTGCGAGGTCTTCATCCCGGCACGTCAGGTCATGCGTAGATTGGAGAGTCAGCAGTGGCTTCTCCCAATCATTGGCCTCATGACCGTCGTGGCGAGATGTGGGGTTGATGGGCCCCGAGATGCTGGTTTGTGGTGCCAGCGAGCTGAGAGATGGCTGAGGAAGGTCCTCGTCTGAGACCCTTTCGATGTTGATGTTGGTGGAGGTGGGGATGGCGTTACCGTCATCGACGTCGTCGCCGACACGGAGACGCTTGGTTCCAGCACCCTCATCGTCATCGTCGTCATCGAAGCGGCGGCGCTTGGTTCCGGCGAGCGCGCTGGGGTTGGCAGTCAAGACCGCCTTGGTCTCGTCAATCTGGTCGAGGACTTCCTCGACGTTCTTCTCCATGGGTGCCATGTTGAGGGTGAGGTGAGGGCAGCGGAGTGAGGAGAGGGAGTGAGAAAGGGGAAGTGGGGTGGAGGAAGAGATGGGGAGAGTGCCGTGCTGTTGGAACCCTTGGGCTCGTTGGACGCGGTTTTCCCGGTGTGGTTGCTGGAAATGGCCTTCCTAAAGACCTGATGGAGATGGAGTGGTGGTTAACGTGTAACCGAGAGAGAAACTGGTGGTAGAACGCAACGTAGAAGTTGGACAATGGATTGTGATGGGTAGAGTTCTGGTGGAACGCGGGGTTCTTGAATGTGTGAAGGAAGTGAGAGTGATGCCACCGGCTTTTGAGCTACGGCAGAGATTGTAAGATTGAAATGACATGAATCTAGAACCGTTACCCTGACAACTTCGAGCAGGCAATGATAACAGCCCGCGAAACTATCGGTTCTTCGGTAGAGATAGGTAAAATTCAGGACGTTACCACTTTATCTCTCTCCCGGAGTTCGGTATCATATTTCCCTCTCGCCCAAGATATATCCATCATCTCCCACTAGGTCATATCTGCTTCCCAACACGTATTCAGTAGTCCCCAAGAGGCCTTTATTAGAAGTAATTCTTGAGATTTGACTTAACTACAGTCTCAGTATAATTCATCTTTGCGCATGTGCTGCTAGGATCAAATCGAGCAGGCTGAGAATTATTCATTTGGTTCTATATAGACTGAAAGATACTCGGAAATAGGTACCTAGGTCGTGTACTTCCGTTGGAGGTTTCAATACCACAATACCTCATCTTATTGAAACTTTGTACGTACAGAATTAAAACTGTTCTCGTTGCCACGGGTAGCAAACATGACGGACTGGACTTCGAACGACCAATGAACGGAAGGCAAAGCCCACAAGTGAGTGAGAATGGCCAGGAAATGGAAGGCACGCGAAGAACAGAAAAATAAGCCAGAGATACTTACCTCTACCTTACTCGGTGAGGAAAGGAAGGTGCGGCTTGGTTTCTGGATTGAGGGGTGGGTTCGGGATGATGGAGGTACCTGCGTTTTTCTTTTCCTGAGTGACACTTCAATTTTTGTAGGTACTTGGCTTTATATGAGAACAGACTGAATCTGGGCGAGCAGGTATCAGGCTATGAGAACCATCCCACGATGAAGGACACATTTGGTGTCAACTAGAGGTAAACGTACCTCCGTCACTCTGCCACCGAGGGCCAGACCAGTTTGCGTCGTGAAACAGGATGGGACTGTGACGGTCCGTCAAGATCTAGTGGGAACGTTGGATTTCACTGCAACTATTGAAGAATGCTATAACTGCCCCAGGTATATATTTGCGAAGTGCAGTGACTGGCACAGCTGTTATAGCCGAGCCATTGTGGAACGTACATGCAATGTTTGGACTCACAAATCCGATCATTGCCTGCACGCTTTACACAAGCGAGAAGAATTCCCTGCCCAGGGGCGTGTCGTCCGCCTTGAATGAGCCTCAACGCGTCCCAATCTCACTCTATAATCCGGAGACAAGCTACATCCCACGCCAGCATCAAGATCTGATCCCACTTGGACCCCCTCCCTCCCGGATACCGCTCATAATACGCGTGAAGAACACAAGCACTCAGGCTTGCTATGGCATAATGCCCCCACTTTCTTTCAAAGTGTCTGGCCACCGCCCATGCCATTTTAGCAAGAGCGCCCTTCGCCGCAGCCACGATCTGGAGGTTCTTCCAGGCAGCCACGAACATCACTTCTTGGACGCCCGCCTTAAGCTCCTCGACCACTTCCCTCCCAACTGTGCTCATACTGAAAGCTCCTCCAGCGGTTAGCATCGCAACGCAGGCTATGGCTACCCTGATTATATTCCTTCCAAATTTAGGCAAGTTGAGCGGACCTCCAAGACCGTAGACGTGACGGGCGCCGTTATCGCATGCCCATTTGCGCTTGAGGTGTTCCGTGAGGAAAGAGACTTGCTCCGCATGCAGAAAATCGGAAGGAGTAGGAGACATGGGCTGCATGTGACTGTGCGTGGGAAATGGAGGCTCGGTTGCTTCTGATGTTTGTGTTGTTGCATGTCTCGACTGCGCTTGCTGGTTCTTTGCGGGCAGCGGTATGTTGCCATTGTGAAATGGAAGGAGCATGCATGGACTCTGAGGCTCATCCTTGACAGCGAGTTGCTCCGTAAGATGCTCTCGCTCTACCTCCGGGTCTACAGGAACGTGACAAAGCGCAACAGTTGAGAAGCCGACAAACGCAGCCAGCTTTTGGTACGAGTCTTTGTCGAGGTAGAATCTTGGGCTTTGAACGACGTACATGCAGTCGCTGCCGTTGGGGAGGTATTCCTCAAGTACCGAGAAGAGAACGGATCTTCTAGATTCCACCGAACCGTCCACGTAAGAATAGGTCTTTGGGTTGTAAGGCAAGACCTTGAGCATTACATTTTTCTCTGGCGTGTCCGGGTGAGGGGGTGTAGGCTCGATGGGAAGATATTTGGCCCTGTTCTTCATCCCTTTGCGGGAGGTTTTGAATCTTTGTGTGATGTCCCTACCACCGAAACTCGTCATCTTTGAAGAAGCTCAAATTAGTCATAAATACCAGGTACCTCCAATCATCAATATCTACCTGCCGTACCTTAAAGTACCCAAGGTATTGTCAGGAAGGGGGGATGCTATCCATTTGCAAGATCAACTTACCCCTAATATCTCGACTTTGTTGCTCGTAGAGATGCTCGATGATAAGATCACAACCGGATGGTCGTAGGACGCGTACCCTTGAGGAAGGCCTTTTACATTGCCTGGTAGCCACATGATAAGTCCAGCGAGATCTTCGGATTTTCGATCCATGGCATACTGAATCGCGGATTGCAGTTTCTTCTTCGTGTTCGGCTCATGGGCCTCTGGACTCGGAACTGGCTTGCTCGACATGATGAAAATTGACTCGGAGTTCAGCGCTGTCTCATGAGACTGGAACTTGTGAAGTGGATGACTGAAGATGTCGACTGTCGAAAAGACGAAGCTCTGGCAGGACGCGAGGACTTGGGCAGCGATCGGGTTATTAGAGTGACGTTCACTTATCAATTACCTCTGCATTTATGTTGCATACAACCGTAGTGTAATCCGTTTACCTCACTCCCCGCTCGTTGGCTGTTCTGCATGCGGGGGTTAGGGACCTGGCGGCCATTGCAGCGGCCCGTTCCAAGCACACAGCCTCCCGTGATGCGGATAGGCGCATAGTCGGCCAATGGCGTTGCACAATGGAAGGGCAGACTGGTGGGCAAAACTTTCCTGGGCATGGCCGGAATAATGGGCCAACGGCCAAGCCTGGGAGAGCTGGAAGGCAGAATACTTGACATAGGTATGTTTGGTGCCCGTTCACCGTTTCATGAGGATCATGGCTTTTGGCTTGTAGAAACAAAACCTTGATAAATGTCTAGGTACCTGAAGTTAAAGATATTGATTCTGTTGAAGTGAAACGAAGGATCACAAGGGTAAGTGAGTGTGGTGACTTTGTTGATTGAAGAAAGAAGAAGCAAGCTTGTGAGGGTGGGAGAATCCCTCGGTAGAGGTATATACAAGATGTGAAACGACAAAGCGAGCAAGTAAACATAGTGTTTGGGGGCCTAGAGGTAGTGCACGGACCCCCAACACTTTCTCCAGTCATCAATGGTAATAGTCGACGTGATTCGTCAAGAATGAGAAGTCAACCTGCACTGGTAGGTACCTCGATCGATGGTGTGCTCAAGACATGGAGTTACCCAAGATCCCAAGGGCTACAAATACCATAAATCCAACCACATACCCCATCCAACGCACCAGATGCCATAAAAAAGACGACACAGGTTCAAGCAAGCCCTGAAAGCTCTGGCACACCTTTGCTGTCGTCTCAAGCACGGGGACGATGATCTCAAGACCATAGTACAAGACATTTGCTCCCAGCCAGAAGTAAAGAAGGACAAGGAAGGATGAGACAAAAAAGTTGAGGAAGAATCGGAGTCGGAGCCAGTTCATTATGTGCTCTTCTAGAATTCTCTCTCTCTGAGCGTCGAGACTAGGTGTTCAAACCTTGTGTTAGAAAGTTCCTGCCTTCTGCAACAACGTTCCAAGTGGGGAATATAATAGTTTATTTGCATACCTACCCAGCATGATTGTCCCTCTGCCGAGCTTGGGCAGTAGCTTGGGCTCTTTGGGATGCAGACCGTTGGAGAGGGTCAGGCATGATTACCCCCAAGGTACATGTACCCGAGGCCAATCTTGCGAAATTTTGTTTTCTGTTGGAGGCTGGAGACGTGACGACAGAAATGGTGATTCATATTTTGTACTGGTAATGCAAAAGGAGAATCGGAAACAAGGCAGCCTAGAGCTGAATAAATAGGTACCCACGCAGGGCAGGGAAGCCGGTGAATGGGAAGCACAGTAACAGTGAATGGGCGCCCAGAGCATGGACTTCCAGCACTTGATCTTTAATAAACGTGGATGTACATCTTCAAGGGCGCCAAATCGATCTGGCAATGGTTTTCGACAAGGCGGTCGTTCATGGCTTTTGTTGGCACAAATAGGTATTTTTTCTACTTGCTACCTCTAGATACCTGACCTCTATGTCTACCCTACGGGCATGTATCTAGTGCTCCCCACTCGCTTCTTGTCCCGTCCATCAATGTCTTTGTTCCTCTCCCTCTTCCTCTTCCTCTTCCTTTTCTTCAATCAACAAGTTCACCACCATTCTCGTGTCCTCGTGTTCACATCCACTCCGTTCACTTCGACGATTGCTTCGTTCCGATCAGACTGCGGTTGATGCCCCTCAGATGATACGGCACTTTGTCACCAGACCGATGCGTCTCACCACGATTCTTTTTGTTTTTCCGGTGGGGCTTATCACCCCGATGATTTTGCTGCTGTTGTTGATCACGACCGTCAACACCGCTTGCTACGAATGTCTTTGGCAGAAGTTGACACATTGCAATCGTCTTGACCAGCTGAAGTCGACAATCAACTTGGCCGTTGGGCTTGGAGATACGAGCTGCGATGTAGTACGGTTGTGATACGGTGAAAGCCGCATATGGTTTCATGCCAATACCATGCTCCCATGTGTCGGTCCAGAGGCTGCTGGTTTTTTGTTTGTAGGGCAGCTTCGACGGCTCGGAGGGAGGTGGGACTCAAGGGCGGAAAGACGGAGTATGTTGAACCGGGCTCAAACAGGTCCGCATCCAAGGTCTGCTTTCCACTTCCTTTCTGTGCGTCTTAGGCTGCATTTGTTTTGGTACGGTTGCCGTACAGAGGAGCTGGTGCATTTGTTTGCGTGTCATGACCAGCCAGCTGAGGGTTGACTTGCTGTGGAGCGTCGATGAAAGCATCAGGTTTGTGGTACGCATTCTCGTCTCCTTTGCGGCGGCTCTCGATGCCAGGTGATGCGTGGATTCAGCGTAGCCTTGATGAATGATAGATGTCTTGATTGTTGTCTTCTCTGAGTCTCCAGAGAGCTGACGGCTCCGTCAACGAGCCTTATGTACAGCTCATGGCAGAGGTAGCTGCTTCCCTCAACGGGTGCTGCTTCCCTCAATGGGGAAACCCCGTGTCACGAGGAGAGTGGGACCCGGGACCGTGCGATTATGGAAACTTGGTGACCTAATGCTCTCGGAGTGGAAGATATTAGAACATTATGTAAACGACAAATGAGAATGACATAGAGTTCACTTCGAAATAAAAAATGGACAGGAGCGAAGGAATGTGGTACTTACAGGGAGGCACGATGGTCTTGTTGTCAACAGGAGCTTCATTCCCGGTTGATCTTCTCAACCGCCTCCTCATCTACCTGTAGAGGTGGCGCCCATGGATCCGCTGACAGATGTAGGTAAGCTTCAACTGCAACTATGTTATTTCTGAGCCGAAGTCATCAAGTCGACGTACCTTGAGATTGGGGACGCGGGATGTGAACGGTGTTTTTGAACTTTGTTGGAACGATGTTTGGAACTGAGTTGGAACGTTGTTGGAACTTTGTTGTGATGGGAAGGGTTTGGGAAGAGGTGAGGGGTCAAGATGGTGAATCCGGGAAGCTTTTTTGTTCTGTTTCCCTTGCACGTCCGTTATGTGGCTGGTGCTCACACTGAGTTCAAAGACAGTGGTTAATTTTGCCAGCTGCCTATCACAACCACAGCCTCTCACAATACCATATTGCGCGTGCACTCGCAGGAAGGCTTGTCTGCCAGCTGAACTGTGATAGCCCTGCTGTGGCTGGGGCTGCCGGCTGAGGCAGAAAGATCGGATTACCGGGCCAACAGTCATGCTCTATTGCGGTCTACGTCGAGTTCGGATGTCTGCTACCGGTTTGGATCCTTCTAGATACTTCCAAGTACGTCATTCATCCAATCGTCTCATTTCTGTCATTTTCATCCATTCCTGGCACTCAGTGGTATCAGAACCCTTCGTGGAAGGCACCTGGGTCTGTTCTTGGCGTCCCCATGAGATCCGGATGTCACGCGGTCCGTTGCTAGGCAGCCAGGATTGCAAGATATTGCCCACGTTGTTCTACACCACTAACGAATTTATGTGTTCATCATGCAAGCAACACTTTGAATTCAGCTTTAGTTCCCTTTTGACACTCTTGAAATGCATAGTTGCCCAGTGGTATACCGAGTGGCGTGGAGGGATGCACTGTATCCCTGATCCCAAACACCTGAAGGACACTCGCCATTTTGATCGTGTTTAAATCACCCTGCGGAAAATAAAGTAACAGCATTAGATTCTATGGCCTTCAGTTCTAACTCAAGGTCCCTTTGTCGGAAGAATACATCAGTGGTGTAATTTTCCCGATGACAGGAAATATTGAGTGCCCCTGATCCAGACCCACTTTTCGCAGCGGGTGCTGTTGCGAAGGAAATCATCAAGACATTGACTCTTCGTGCTTCAAAAAATATCTGATCATTGCAGTCCAGTCCTTTTTGGAATGTAAAAGGAGGAAAGACCAGCCGGTTGGCGTGAAAATGCTTTAAATTGTCTTCCAAATGTTGAGTGTCCGTCTCCAAGGAGGAGTCTGGTGTGATTGTAAGGTGAGCTCAGGTTGACATGGAGCACATAAAAATCAGCATCAGCGGGCAAGAAGTAACTAACAGAATGCGCTCGCTAAAGAACAACCTATAACCGCGAAATCGGTGAGAACCGCAGGACACTCTGATCCGAATCGAAAACGAACATTGTTGGTTGTGCAATCTGAACCAGCTTGCCATCCTTCTTACACGATTCACTTTCTTTGAGATGGACTGAAATGCTTCTTTCTCATTGCATTCAATCTCACAGCATGAGCAAGCAAGCCTTTGATCCTCTTCTTTCTCCTCCGTCCTGTGTGTGGCCAGCCAGTCTGGCCTGCTTACAAGTCTTCTTCCATCTTTGCTCATAAGGACATCTTATCTCGTTAAAAAAGGAAGAAAGTATTCATTACGGCTTGTAGGATCACGGCACCTTCAAAGTTTAAACCAACCCTTGAAGAAAGATTAATTTAGGTATTAACAATGTCCATGTCCCAGTGCATGTAAGCACAACGACAGTCACATAGCACAGTTTTTTCCCCCCACGTTTTGAACAAACGTGAACAGAGATAATTAGATGTAAAAGTCTCATTGCCCGTGTTCTATCTACTTCGACTTCGATTTCGACTTCGACTTCGACTTCGACTTTGCCTTGACATCTTTCGACTTGACGTCATGTGCAAGATTGGCCCGCATCTCCAGAGAGACTTGTTGGCCGGCCGTGCCTCTTGGCGCCCATTCACTGTGCTTCCATTCACTGGCCCTCCCGTCCTGGGTATTTAGGCTGCCCTAGGTGCTTTTCCCCTTCTTCCCTGTTCCTACTACCAGAATCAACACCTTTTCGTTGTCCCAGTCCAACAAGACTGCTTCAGTGTCTCGACTGCACCAGCATTTAAGAAGCTTGAAATTTGCAGCGAGGCCTTTCCCTTGTTCTTAACATCTTTGACAAGCTTCTCAAATGCTGGTGCAGCCCTTAGGCTGGCCCGGGCCGCCCTGGTACTGAATGGGCGTGGGCGTCCGCCTTTGTTGTGGCGGCGGCCACTGCGGTTGGTCGTGGTTGTCGGCATGGCGATTAGCAGGAGCATGAGAAGAGTTGGTGGACGACATGGTTCTGGATGGGCGTGGGCGTCCGCCTTTGTTGTGGCGGCTGCCACTGCTGCAGCACCTGGAGATGAAGTTAGGACTCAGGATCTCGTCACTCTTCTGACAGAAAAAAAATAAGCAACAGCTTCTACTTACACGTTACTCGTGTGTACAATCACCTTCCTGTTTTTCTTGTGTGCTGGATGGATGCGAAGCATCTCGGATGCTTTCACGGCTGTCAGGGTAGGCTCGGGCTGGGGCGATCCCCGCTGCTTTGCCACCCATCAAAGCAGAGTGTATAACAAACGCCTTCTTTTGGTCGGGGCCGGGCGCCGTGAGGGGGGCACACGATGACGACGACGACGACGACGACCTCTCTTCTGTGGCTGGGAGAAGCGGCGCCCTGGAGTGAAAGTCAGCACTCACTATTTTTTTCACTCATCTGACAGAATGAACAAGAGGCGACTACTTACGGTCAACGATGTTGACGTATGATACGAGGGGGGTTGGATGCGGTCGTGGCAGGTGTTGTTGCCGAGGGTTTGAGAGCTGGTTTGGCTGTAGTTGGAGGCGTCTTCGAACTACCCGTCCTCCTGCCAACCGCGTTCTGGGGAATTCAGGAGGGGAAAGCAGATGCGTGTCTCGAGGCAAGTTCGGCCCTGCCGTACGAGCTTCGGACCGCCTACCTTCAACACACTGGTTGGGTGATACACGTGTACCAAGTGATGCTGATGTGCTTGAGGACTGGGTGATGTTTGGTTTGAGGAACTGGAGACCTAGAGTTGGTGGTGAGGGAAAAAGTTTGAGAAGTGAGAGAAGGAAGGTCGCGAGAAGACCTTGGATTTTAAACCAGAGCAAGTGAAAAACAAGGTGGGGCAAGGCAGTGTACAATTCAATCTTTTGTGTGCAGAATCTGTATTGAAAGTTACGTGCAGAACTTCAAACTGCCCTAGATGCCCCAGGCAGAAACCGAACGTACTTCGGACGACGAAGCGGTGTAAGAAGAAGCGACCAAAGGATGGAAGGTACGGAGTAACGGGAAAGACAGAAAACAACCCAGATCCCAAAGCTCAGTGAATGACGTATGAGCCTCATACGCCGGCACTCTATACTCCCGTCTTCAACGGGAAGTGAAAGAGCCTCGAGGTCAGCATGACCTTGACCCCGCCCAGCGTTAAGCCCGTGCTTTATCCCATAGTGTAGAGGTAGGTAGACAGGTAGCCTACCTCTACCTCCCTTGAAGACCTCCCTTCAAGCAAGACCAAGGTGCTCAGAAAAGCTTCCACTTATCATTTGGTGTCCCCATGATCCAGTCCCTCACCAACACCCACGCACTCTTTGCCACCCATGCAACACTCTTAGCCATGCCGACTACCAGATACTTGAGGATCTTACCCATAGCAACCAAATAATCCCAAAAGAAGGATCCGACAGCATTAGCTACCTTGTGCCAGTCAACCTCCTTCAGGCCTCCAAACAGATAACTGAAAAGCATGTACACGAGAGCCACTACACAGGCAAAGGTAGCCGCGAAGATAAGGCCGAGAACAACCTGGGCGCTTGGTGAGAGATCGTCGGGAGATCCGCCTGACGAGTGACCGGAAGGTCTTGCGGCATTGCGCTTTCTCTGGGAGTGGACATCGGAATAGTACGGGTCGTAGCTGTTGTAGCTGTTGTAGCTGTTGTAGCTGTGGTGGTCGCTTCGAGCAGTGCTCTGGACAGGTCGCGAGGCGGGGTATTGTACCTGTGGCTGAAAGAGGGAGTTAGAGAATAGAACCCAGTGAAACCTTATAACGTTCAAAAAAGACAGGTTGTGACTAACAGTAACACTTGGTATCGTTCCGTATCCCTGGCTCCGCTTCCTCTCTACTTCCAGATGAGCCTGAACAAGAATGTCCAGAGGAACTGGAACAGTGAACCTGTCATCGTAGACAGGAGGAGTGGGCTCGCGGTAACCGGAATGTTTTACCACAATCTGGTACGAAGCATCCGTGATGCTGTAGATCTTGTTTTTGCGACGACGATCGTAGTTTCTCAGAAGAGAGAACAGGATTTGCTCATGGTCCCTAGTGTTTACGTAGGAGTTCTTTTTGAAGGCCGGTACGCCGTGGTCAAGCTGCAGTTGGATATTGTTGTCTGGATGGGGAGGTGACGGATCGATGGGAAGGTAAATTCCTCGTAGTTGAGCGTTGCTATACCGATGCCTCGTTTCAAGATCCGTGCCGCCAAAGGATGTCATCTGAATTGCACACACCAAGCTTGTTAGCTTGCGGATGTCGAGTTTTGGGACATGACTGATGCATTGGAAAAGTTGAAGAGTATTGCGCAACTCACGAAAAGAATGTCAACCTTCCCATCTGCAGAGATCTTCTTCGAAAGCACAAGGACCGGATGGTTATGGGATTCCTCGGAGAAACCAGTCGATGAGCTGAGCTCATCCGCATACGGCAACCACATTATGCGTCCCGCAAGCTTCGAGCCATTTTGTCCTGGTGTCGGCGGAGTGCTTCCCCGTCGGCTTCGTTGGGAGTTACGTCTGGAAGATGGAGTGGTTGGCATGATTGCTTCGAGTTACAGTCCCCATTCAATACAACGAAAACAGGCACTTATGCCATGGACAGTAACACATATCAAGGGTGTAATTTTCCAACACTGCAAAAAGACGGGAATTCGCTCAAGATAAACCCTCTCAACTCAGCTCACCAGCAGCAAAGGGAAGCCCAAAATGAGGGGTCGCTTCCATATGTCCGTGTCCTTAGGCAGACTGGCAGAATCCGTTTGCTTTCATGTCTTGTTCCCGTTGGTTGCATCGTGCATTTTCCTGCACTTTTTGGTCTTTGCATGTCATGTTGTACGCCCACGAATGGCTAGATGATGCGCCCGGCCGCTATAAGTGGCCATCGGCGGCCACCAGCGGGCCGTTCCCACCACACAGCCTCTCTCCAGGGACCCTGTCATGCACATAACCGCTAATCAAGCACACCAAATCTCCAATGGGAGGCCGTACCGGCGCTGCGGGAAGGTGACGAACGAAACATGTTGGCTCGAGTGGTGGACCGTCGAAGCAATGCGGGGGTGGGCGCAGAGCACGGTCAGGCTGTGACGAGGGCTCCGAATGTGTGTTGGCGTGGACTGGACTCGTAGAGGTCGAAGTTCAATCGGGACATGGATGAGAGG